CTCTGCCTGTAGGAGCTACAATGAAGCTAGAAGGGAAAAGCTACTCCCTTTTCTCTGTCTGGTTTGCCCAGAGAACTAAAACACTCCTTTTTAATCCTCCCTGGCTTCTTGGACCTGCCATCACCCGTACTGTCTGCTGTTCTGGCAGGAACGAAGTTGGTGCTGGCCATCCTGCTGCCTCTGGTCTCCTTCTTGCTCCTTGCCACCATCCTTGTCTGCACCTGGAAGAGCCACCACTCTCTCTGCAGAAAGCTGGGTAGGACCCTCTGTCCCCACGTGGATGGATCAGCAGTGGGCTGGGAGAGATATAGCCAACTTGCCCATTGCAAATCCTGCTCCTCATACCCGCAAGACTCCTCATGCCTGCCTCCAATGAAGGCATCATCATCTTCACCCAGCCCCTCATTCTGAGGCCAGAGATGAGGGTGACAATAGTCTGTTCCTTCTGGGACCCCGTGTGTACAGCAGCACATTGTGGTGGGATATGGAGGGTGAAAGGCTGGGAGCTTGGGGCCTGCCGGAGGCCCTACACCCCTTTCCTCTTCTATTGCAGGATCCCTGCTCAAGAAGCGTTCAGAGGTAATGGGGAGGCTGAAAAGGCAGCCAGGAGGGGTGGAGGGGCTGGGGGTACAAGGTAGGAGCACAGAGGAAAAGAGTACGCAGACTTCACCATTCATTCCTTCATTCAGTTAAGGATTTATGGAGCATGCCATGTGCCAAGCACTGTGCTAGGAGCTTGGGGTACAGCCATGAGCAGAACAAAGCTCCTGCCCTCCTAGTGTTTACATGCCAGAGTGAGAAATGCAATTAAATAAATACATATTAGGTGGTGATAACTGCTGAAGAAAGCAGGGTAGGGGGAGGGAACAGTGTGCGGCAGTGGCAAAGGATGGGGTGTGCTATTCCAGACTAATGAACAGGGAAAGTCTCTCTGGGAAGCTGATATTTGAGCAGAGAGCTGAAGATGTGAGGAGCCAGCCATGGGGCTGTGGGGGAAAGTGCTCTGGAAGAGGGAGTATCACATACAAAGGCCCTGGGTAGGAAGTGAGATAGGGAGCAGAGGCGGGCAAGCGTGGAGTGGGGTGTGAGAACTAAAGGATGCGGTGTGAGGCCCTCATCACCAGTGGAGTCTCTCTCCTGCAGGGAGAGGAATCAAATGCTGCTGTTCTATGCCGGGAGGCTCCACTGGCCAACCCACATTTCCCTGACCTGGTGAAGCCACTTATACCCATCTCTAGAGACTTGTCCCCAGCCTCTGTTGGGCACCTGACAACCACAGCTTTGGATCACGAGGTGCTGCAACAGCAGAGTCCTCTGGGCCAGACCAGGGAGCCGGAGATTGAGTCCAGGGAGCAAGGCCAGGTAGCCCACGGTGAGCATGGGGCAGGCCTGGGAGAAGGGAAGCAGGGAAGATGGAAGGGAGGGGGACAGTGTGGGCCAGATGAAACAAAAACACGAAAACAGAGGCAAGGCAGAGATTCTGGCTGCCAGCCAGAGTGTCACAGCTAGGGAGAACGAAGGAGACTGGAAAACCCAGAAATGGAAATGAATACAGAGCTCTAGAAAGCAATGCCAAGTGTGAGAGGGGATGGGGTAGGAGGGAGAAGGCTAGAAGATGGCCGGGAGATTTGGAGGGGGTAATGGGCACCTTGTTGGGAGCCTTCCTTTCTTTTTCTTTTTTTTTTTTTTTTTTGAGACAGGAGCCTCAAGCTGTCCCCCTGAGTAGAGTGCTGTGGCATCACAGCTCACAGCAACCTCCAACTCCTGGGCTCAGGCGAGTCGCCTGCCTCAGCCTCCCAGTAGCTGGGACCACAGGCACCCACCCCAACACCTGGCTATTTTTTGGTTGCAGCTGTCATTGTTGTTTGGCGGGCCCAGGCTAGATTCAAACTCGCTACATTGGGTATACATGGCTGGTGCCTTAGCCATTTGAGCCATAGGCGCCGAACCTTTTTTTTTTGAGACAGAGTCTCACTATGTCACCCTCACTAGAGTGCTTTAGCATCATAGCTCACAGCAACCTCAAACTCGGGCTGAAGCAATTCTCTTGCCTCAGCCTCTCAAGTAGCTGGGACTACAGGTACCTGCCACAATGCCCAGCTATTTTTTTGTTGCAGTTGTCATTGTTGTTTAGCAGGCCCGGGTGGCTCGAACCTGCCAGCCTCAGTGTATGTGGCCAGACCCCTACTCACTGAGCTACGGGTGCCAAGCCAGAGCCTTCCTTTCTTAACAGTATTCTCTTGACCCCTCCTCACTTTGCCTCCCTTCCTACAGGTACCAATGGTATTCATGTCACCGGCGGGTCTATGACCGTCACTGGCAACATCTACATCTACAATGGGCCAGTGGTAGGGGGAGCACGGAGCCCTGGAGATCCCCCAGCCCCTCCAGAACCTCCATACCCAATTCCTGAAGAGGGTGGTGACCCTGGCCCTCCCGGGCTCTGTACACCTTACCAGGAAGATGGCAAAGCCTGGCACCTGGCCGAGACAGAGCACTGGGGTGCCACACCCTCGAACAGGGACCCAAGAAGCCAATTTGTCACCCATGCCTGATCACATCTGGGAAAAGAAGGAGAAGGAAGACACATGAGCACCTTCTCTTCTGAGGCTGCCCTACCCACACAGGACTCATGGGGGCCTGGGTAGGACCCTGAGAGGCAGAGCCCAAGCGTCAGTCTTTGAGAGCAGGACTGGACACTGGTCCGGTACAGTGTCCTCCACAGGACTCTCACCACTGCCTGAGCAAGCCTGAGGCCTCAGGATAGACCTGCATGCCCACTTGGGCTGTGGCAACTCAGCCTTGGCACAGACAGGGCACGTGATGCTAATTGTTGCCCACCATGGCATGCTGCACCCAAGCATAGCACTGAGGGAGCCACTACACGGTTACCTGCAAGGACGTCACCGGGGCCTCTGAAGAACTCATGGTGCTTATCCCCAAGCTTCAGAGGCCCTTTGAGGGTCTACTTTTCACATGGACTAAGGTAGACTCTACATGAAGATGAAGTTATAGGGAAGAACCTCCTTCCCTTCCCTAGAGGAGAAGAAAAAGAATCATTGAAAACTGAGCTCTGGGTAGGACTAGCTGGTCTGGGGGAGATTTTTGGAAGAGGAAGAGAGTGATGAATGTATTTATAAATTGTAACCACATGCAAATAAAGCAGAGATTGAGGCCCAGTTAATTTCTTTTCTTGGGAATTTATCTAGAAGCACTGTTCCACTGGGGCAATGTCAGAGACAAAGGTCAAGACGTTAAAATATAATCCCACAAGGATATTTTGATGAGGAACTAGTATATGTAGTTCAGGTAACAATAAAATTAGTCGGTGATAGCTAACAACATGCCAGGCAGTGTTCTAAAAGCTACTTATTTATTTATTTATTCTTAGTTTTTTGAGACAGAGTCTCAAGCTGTTGCCCTGGGTAGAGTGCCTGGTGTTGCTCACAGCAACCTCCAACTCTTTGGTTCAAGCAATCCTCTTGCCTCAGTTTTTCTATTTTTAGTAGAGACAGACTCTTGCTTTTGCTCAGGCTGGTCTCAAACTCCTGAGCTCAAGCAATCTACCTGCCTCGGCCTCACAGAGTGCTGGAATTACAGGCTATTTATTTATTTATTTTGCAGTTTGGCCAGGGCTGAGTTTGAACCTGCCACCCTCAGTATATGGGGCCGGCTTACTGAGCCACAGGTGCCGCCTTATTTATTTATTTATTTATTTATTAAGATTTTTTTTTAATTTCATTTTTTTATTATTGCAGTTTGGCCAGGGCTGGGTTTGAACTCACCATCCTCGGTATATGGGGCTGACACCCTACTCACTGAGCCACAGGCACCACCCTATTTATTTATTTTTTAAGACAGAGTCTCACTTTGTCAACCTGGGTAGAGTGCTGTGGAGTCATAGCTCATAGCAACCCCAAACTCTTGAGTTCAAGGAATCCTCTTGCCTCAGCCTCCCAGGTAGCTGGGACTACAGGTGCCAGCCATGACACCATCTAGTTTTTCTATTTTTATTTATTTATTCGTATTTATTTTTAATGATTTCTTATTAATTATAACTTTATACATTGATACCATTATGGGGTTCAGTGTGCTGCTTTGATATACAATGCAAAACACTTACAATGAACTAACACATCCGTCACAATTATACTCATTTCTTAATAGTTTTGAAACGTATCATTGCATCATGCACATTAGGTGAGGTCCCCCCAAATACCCTTCCTCCTTCTATGTTCCCCCTCCCCTCTCGCTCTTCTTCCCTTCTACTAAACATAACTATAGTTGTTCTATTTTTAGCAGAGTCAAGGTCTCGCTTTTAGTCAGGCTGGTCTCAAACTACTGAGCTCAGGCAATCTACCCACCTCGGCCTCCCAGAGTGCTAGGATTACAAGTATGTGCCCAGCCTAATATTGACTTATTTAATCCCCACAAAAAAACCCATAAGGTAAATGCTATTACTATTCCTGTTTTAAAAATTGAAGAAACTGAGGCACAGAGAGCGTCACTTGTCCAGTCAGCTGCGAAAGGCAAAAATTGGAATTCATGCTCAATTAGTCTGGCTTTTGAAGCCTCTTGGATTAAGAAAAAACAAACCTTCATATAGCACACTGTTCTAGAATTTCTCGGATGAGCTGACTTCCCTAAACAATCAAATTTCTTGCATGTTCCATGGGTGTTAAGTCTCAGTCACCTCTTAAACGTATGGTCACCATGCAGACTGAAAAGTGTCTTCCAAGGTTGGTTGAAGGGAAAGGTGTGCACTTTAGGACATAACATTCGAGAGCCCAAAGTCACATTCTGTTGCTAAACAGAATCAAGACTGGCCTCCTTTTTAACACAGAAGGAGCACTTATGATTTTTTACTTTTTGGTTTCTTTTTGTCTTCTTTTATTTTTTCCCAAAAAAGAACTTTAAATCTTCTCAAGCCCTCTCCCTCACCCGAATTACCTCCTTTGCTGCCTGGCAGAGAGGATCTTAGTTTGCAGGACTGTCAGGGGAGCTGCTGCCAGCTGCCTGCGCCTTCCATAAAAGGCCATTCTAATGCATCTAATATGAAGAACTCTGTTGCTGGGGTTCATCAAATGGGGTAGCTGCAAAACACATACCTGAGGAAGCATCTGATCCAAATGAGTGGATGGGTCATTTAAGGTTGACTGTGAATGTATTAGATCCAGCTTCCTTTGTTAAGAAGTAAATACTGGCGAGCTGTATCTTTTTTTTTTTTTTTTTCTACTCACAAGGATTTATAAATGGCAGAAACCTTGAAAGACTGAAATTAATTGTCAATATAGTAATTCTTCCAACCACTAGCTCTCTCGCTGGGGAGCACCTGGGATGGGTGTACACTGTAATTAGGAGCAGGAGGACTTCACTCTCTCTATTTTATTTATTTATTTATTTTTGAGACAGAGTCTCACTACACCGCCCTGGGTAGAGTGCCATGGAGTTACAAGTCACAGCAACCTCAAACTCTTGGACTTAAGCCATTCTCTTGCCTCAGCCTCCTGAGCAGCTGGGACTACAGGGGCCTGCCACAACACCCAGCAATTTTTTTGTTGCAGTTGTCATTATTGTTTTAGCTGGCCCAGGCCAGGTTTGAACCCGCCAGCCTCTGTGTATGTGGCTGACGCCATAACCACTGTGCTACGGGCACCGAGCCACTTTCTTTTTATTTTATTGACTTTATTTTATTATTTATTTTGCTCTAGAGATACAGCTCACCAGGGGCCCTCATGCTCAAGACTTCTTGGGCACAACTTAGAGCCATAGTCCTCAAATTTCTTTTCCAGGACACAACATTTCCATATACCCTACACACAGAGACACAGAGGCATTTGCCCTGGGCAGGACCTCTTTGTTAAAATTCATTTTAAATTCCTGTCTTTGTTTAAATAGAGGAAGAATGCGACCTACCAGGCTGAATTGCAGAATGAGTGAAGTTAAGGATGCAAACAGTTGGAGAGACATTCCCCTCTGTTGTCATGAGAGGGAGAACCAGGGTCATGGAGGCCCAGAAGGGAAGAATTTCTTTTAGTGCTTAGAAAAATGCTTCTAGAAACTTACCTTTGCTTATGTGTAGCCTAAGACCTGATTGGAACACTGAGCTGGCTCTTGCATATCCATCTCTCAAGCAAACTCGGACCTGTGGTATTCAGTGTAGTGAATGTAGGGGATGACAAGCACCCACACCCCGCATAACCTCAGAACAGATGAAGCCAACAGCCAAAAACCACAAAGCACCTTCCCAGGGACGCCAAACATCCTAAAGCCAAAGCACAAAGTATCAGGGGCTGATCCTCTGGCTGGACAGGGTCCTCTGAAAGTCTGGGATTTCAGTTTCATGCACGGTTCAAAGACAACCATTCTCTCTCTCTCTCTCTTTCTTTCTTTCCTGCTTGCCTGCCTGCCTTCCCTCCTTCCTTCGAGGCAGAGTCTCACTATGTTGCCCTCTGTAGAGTCCTTGGTGTCACAACCTCAAACTCTTGGGCTCAAGCAATTCTCTTGCCTCAGCCTCCCTAGTATCTGGGACTATAGGTGCTCAGCTATTTTTTTTTATTATTGTTTGTTTATTTGTTTAGCAGGCTCAGGCCAGGTTCAAACCCACTGGCCCTGGCGCATGGCTGGTACCCTAACCACTGAGGTACCAGCGCCAAGCCAAGTCAATCATTTTCTAACCCATGCAGCCCTCCCTGACCTGGGGAAAGAGTTGTGTCAATGGAAAAGAAGCCAAATTCTGCAAAATAACTTAGAGGTTTATTTCAAGCCTAATTTGAGGACCATGGCCCTGAGCTGTGCCCAAGAAACCTTGAGCAAGAGGACTCCAGATGAACTGTGTCTTTAGATAGAGTGAAGTAAAAAATAAAATAAAATATAGTGAAGTCCTCCCACTCCTGCGGTGGTATGCTAGATGCAGACAACATGGATCCTTCATAATTGTTCTAATGTGTTTAAATAAAAACAAATTTTATACATTTTTCAAAAATACAAAAGGCTGAAAACATGTTTAAAGAAACGGTGCCAAGGCACAGCCCTACGTGATACTACTCAAACGTAGGATGATAACTGCCTATATTGATTTGCCAGGGCTGCCCTGACAAAAGACCACACGCTGGGTAAACAACAGGACGTTATTTTCTCATACTTCAGCAGGCTGGAAGTAGAGATAAGATGTTGGCAGAGTTGGTTTCCTCTGGGGCCTCTCTCCTTGGCCCACAGATGGCCGTCTTCTCCCTGTGTCTAAACATGGGCTCCTCGTGCCTGGTGTGTCCTAGTCTTAGTGGATTCAGGCCCACCCTAACGACCTCCTTTTAACTTAATCACCTCTTTAAAGACCGTGGCTCCCTCCAAAGATAGTCACATTTTGAGCTCTTAGGGACAGTAACTTCAGAGTTTGGGGAGTTATTGGGGAGGGCCTCAATTCAGCCCATGGCACTGCCCATGTTTACTTTGCCAGTGCTGAGTTAATATGGGTTCCAGACACAGGACTTACTCTGTTATTGGGGGAGGGAAGCTCCTCTACAGAAGGAAGTGCTGACAAAAATCAGTGAAGACAGCCTCTCGGTTGTGGTCTTCAAAAGGTGAAACAGGATATGGTGGTAGTGATGATGGGAAAATTAAGTCTGAATCTAGCTAGTCACTCGTGTATTTGTTTTTGTTTTTTAGCTTAATGTGGATTTTTTCGCTTTTGCTTTCTATACTTCGATGAATGCAAATCTCATGTATTATTTCTAGGAACCCCAGTCCTCCAGCACACAGAGGAGACAACTGACACTAAGTCCAACCCATATCAACATGGGCAAGGGTTGCTGTCGAGAGAAAAGAAGAATGTAATTGGGACAGAGTGGTAACAGTGGCAGCTGGG